ACAAAATGACCAAAATTAACATCACCGGTGGGAATGGTAGTACACACCTATAATCCCAGTGACTCAGGAGGCTGAAGCATAGGATCTCAAGTTTCAGTCCAACCTCAGCAACTTAGCAATAACCTGCCTCAAAATTTAAAAAATAAAACGTACTGGAGATGTGGCTCAGTGATGAATTACCCCTAAGTTCATTCCCCAATACAAAAGAAAAAAAAGATAAAAATATCATAACATATTTAACATCATCATAAGGAGAAAAATCATTATGATATTATATACTAATGAAAAAGTAGTACCACTTCTATGATATTCCTGATCCAAATACAGAACCTGAATCTTGCCCAACAAGAAACATTAGACTTAAATTGACTAACATTTCAAAATGTCAAAAATGAGAAAGAAAAAGAAAGACTAAGAAACAGTTCCATATTGAAGGAGATTAAAGAGGTATGACAGGTAAATGTAATGTATGATACTGAATCAGATGCTGAACAAAAAAAGAAAAGGATACAAGGGAAAAAAGTATTTTTTCTACTAATAAATTTATCAAATCAATCAGTAAAATTTAAATGGTATCTATGTACTATATGGTAGCATATATAAATGTTAATTTCACTATTTTTTTGTTTTCATTGTAGTCATGTGAGAAAGTGCCTTTATTATTTGGAAATACACACTTAGCTATTCAGTATTATAGATAATGGTACATATATAAATGTCAAACATAGACATATGATAAACTATAGATATCTGAAGATACAGGTATACATATAGACATGCACACATACCATGTTTGAGATAAAGTAATTATATCTTCATCAAGGGGTAAAAACAGGAAAATAAATCTCATAAATAAGTTTTACTCAATAGAGTAATTAAAAATGCTAATTTAATTATTCTTTCCTAAAGTAATAAGCAAATGTAGAATTATTTCTAGAAACATGAGTGCAAGCTCTTTTTTTTTCAATGCTAATTCATCATCTACCAATATATTCTTACTTACTAGCTAGCTTGATTGTCACATAACTTAGGATAACAAACACTGGTCCCATTAAATATTTTATTTGTAAATTAAGATCTCTTTAAGACTCTTTTCTATAGGCTCTCACACTTATTTTTTTTCTGAAGTAGAATAAATATGCTTCCAACATATGTCATATTTGAGTATTAAGTTAATATTTCTAAGATATATTACAATACTAATGTGCTCCAGATTATAAAATTTGAGTCAATTAATATTAAACAAGAATGTGTCAGCAAGTACAGTAGTTTAGTCACTCAATATGGGAATCACAGTAGGATTTTAATTGTATGAAGAACAACAATAGTCAGAAGTATAATTCTAGATTGGCTATGTTAAAATAGCTGAATAAAAACAAAAATTTTGTATGGGTTAAGATGAAAAATATGAGAATTAGAGTATAAGAAAAAGTGATGATGTTTACATTATTCAAATTTTTTAAAGTTAGGGAACATATTATTATATTTTTTATAAATATATATTATTAGCTCATTTATTTTTATATAGGTATAGACATACATATCTGAGTAACAAGCCCTTTATCAGAATTTACAAATATTTCCTCCTTGTCTATGGCGTATCTTATTATTTTTTTACAGTATCTTTGAGGAGTCATTTGTAACTTCAATAAAATTTAAATTATCACTTTTTCATTCACAGATCGTGCTTTTGATTTTGAATATAAAAACTCATCAACATACCCATGGTCTTAAATTTATTTTGAATTATATTTTGTGAAAGACATAAAGCCTGTGTCTGGATTTTTTTTTTTTTTTGCATAGAGATGTTCAAATGTTCCAGTACTACTTGTTGAACAGATAGTTCTTTTTCCAATAAATCATCTCTCCATTTGTCAAAAAAAAATGCTAATCTAAAAAATAAAAAATATTTTATTAAAATGCATTAATATAGATTAAAATAGCAAATCTGTCATATTAATTATATAGTTTAGACAGTAAATATTAAAATAGAAATTAATGTGATGAAAATAATAGTGTTGTGAAATATTCTAACCCAGCTATATTCCAAATTAATTAAAATGTTTATCTACTAAAAAGAGAAATTTTTTAAAATATGAAAATCATAGAATGACTTCAATTATTATTAAAAGCCTAAGCTTTTTATCTTAAAATTTAAGTAACTAGTTTCTGTGAATTCCACTAATTTAAAAAAAATAACTAAAATATTTATAGTTCATGCTAAAATCCTAGCTTTTTTTTCTTTTTTAATTTTTGTTGTTGCTGTTGTTGTTGTTGTTGTGTATGGACAGAATGCCTTCATTTTATTTGTTTATTTTTATGTGGCGCTGAGGATTGAACCCAGTGCCTCACACATAATAGGCAAGTGTTCTGCCACTGAGCTACAGCCCCAGCCCTAAAAAACTAGTTTTAATAATAAATATTTTCAAGACAACCTCACTGATTTAAATAAGCCAATTCTACATAATAAATCTCTTCCTATTTGTATATATCCTAATTATTCCATTTCTCTGAAGTACTCTGATAGTAGACTTTCATTGCAAAAGGAGAAGATACATAGTAATTTTACAAATAATAAATTAAAATTACTAATATAAACAAAAATTACATTTGATAACTTGATGATATGATAAAAATTAAGCATATTTTGAAGAAAAGCAAAGTATATAGAGAAAAATTAGACAAGAATTTTTAAAATATAGTGAACTTTTCTAATGGAGACAGAAATTTGGCCAAAGATATATTTGTGTACTTTTTCTAATTGAAGGTAAACAAAGATTAATAAACTTAAAACATCTAATTGCCATTGCAAAAATGATTTTGTGACTTATTGAATAACATAATTATTGATGTTATGGAAACATATCAGAGAGCATTAAAGAAGCCAGATAAAGTTAAATACTGAGATTAGTATAGCAGAAGCCTGGAGAAAATTCAGCACTATGAACAGTTTTGTGGGGGGGGAAAAAAAAGGTATTTTTCAAACACCACGTCATGTGATGATTTTCAACTTAATGGGACAACTTTTGTAACAGTTTGGCCTAGGCCAGTCCTTTTGCATCAAATTGTGGCTCAGACAGCACTTGATGATAGCAAGTCAATCCAAAAATATCCCCAACAATTTGTAAAAATTAGTAGATTACAGGGAAACTCCTAAAATGATTTGGTTAAATGATTTGTGCTAAAATGTTTATCACTCATTAAGCAGTTTATTAACATAAAAAGCACTATTTTATAATACTGATTTGTTTATTGACATGTTTGTAAATATCAATTCCTGATCAAGCTGTTAATATTTTGATGGTCACCACTTCAGTCAACCAATCACAACTGAATCAATAGTCAACACTCTTCCCTCAATAAACTTGTCCAGATGACATCTCTTCTCAGTTCCAGCCCTCAAAGAGGGGATAGTTTCCACGTTCTACAATCTCCTCTTCAGAATAAAAAGGAGTAGAAAGTCGTTATGTTTTAATGTTTTAGCTTGAATCCAAAATGTGTCATGGTTAGAATGAGGAAATCAAATAACATTCTGTGTTGATGATGAATGTGGGCACAATCCCAAATGCAATTCAGCAAAACTCTGCGAAAGTGCCAACTCTGGATAATCCACATAGAATATAATTGGCAAATATTTTCCATCTTCTCTTCATTCTTTTTCTGGGGGTAAAATCTTACAGGATTTATTTTTAGTGAGAAAAAAAAAAGCAAAACAAGGAAAAGAAAAACAAGGCTGACGATTCTGCACAACTTTTTTGGGAAACAAGGAGATAGAGAAGTGCCCCCACAATTCCTGTAGTTTTCAACCAAACTGCCTTGCTCAGGACAACGGGATGGGGATGGAAAGCCAAGTAACTTGGAAATCGTCTGAATTCACACTTTGTGGTAAAGTTTTGTGTTCTGTCACAGCATCCAATCTTCATCTTAGATTTGGTTACAGTGAATAACAGCCACCAGATGGCAGAAAACTGCAGGTTTGCTTCTAGGGACCCAGAAATCCCAAAAGGTTCTGTATATCTGAAACCCCACCGTTCACTTCATAACAATAAGATTCTTTTAGGAAAGTAATAATTTTGGATCATTTTTATCATGTCATATTAAAGCAGCATTTTAAAACATTGGGAATTTGCATTTGTGAGTATCTGAATAACATAGTACATTATGACAAAATTGATTACAATCTCAGGACTATGTCTTGAAAAATCTGCTAATACAGTTCACTGCACTAATACTATGAAAGGATAAAATACTATTAGATCATCTCAGTAGATACAGAAAAAAACACTCTATAAAATCAGAAAAATGAAAAGTCTACCATCAAGTGACTCAATATCATGATCATGACTATGCACAAGATTTTTAAAGTATGATTGATACTTGCTCTTGGCAAGGGTGTAAATAAAGTTGGAATATTATATGTTTCCGATGGGAATGATGTCATTTCAAATGCCATCTTCTAAACTTAAGAAACACTTTATGATTCAGTATATTCAATTTTATATTATATGTGAGTGTGTGTGTGTATATACATATATATATATATATATATATATATATATATATATATAAAACTTTATCATTTTTACAAAGCATTTATTCTTGCATTCACATTTACCTTTTACTATAACCCTCCCTCCAAGTACCTGGGATTGCATTGGAAAAGGATGATTGGTCATAAAGTTTCCCAGGATTTATTTACTTACTTGAAATCAACTCTTTTTTGCACTTCTTAATACTCAAGGCCGCACACACCCATGTACAATGTTAGGCATTTAGTTATTTTGTCTTGGGGCATTAATGCTATCATATCAGTGTTTTCTAAGAAAATATGTTTCCTTTGAGAACTCAGCCATCTGTTTTGCTTTTTATCTTTTTTATTTTCCTTTTTTTCTTTCCTTCTGGCTGCTTCTTTTTGTCTTTAGTACTGTACATTTAACTCTGGTACCTTCCTAGATATATTTATTTACTGTGTGTTGTTTGGGAGCATTTCATCCACCTACACTCTTTCTTTGATTCTGTGATATCAGGTGGACCTACTGCAGACTCTCTCACACCATCACCAGTGTCCATGACCTTAATCCTGTGTCATTTCTCTGTCTCTTTTTGCTGGGTTTTTGTAAAGATTCTAATTCTTTCCTCAGTTATACTTCACCTGTATTTCATTTTTCAACTAAAAGTTACACTGTAAAATTTTAATGTTGAGTCTTAAACTTTAATTTAGTTTCTAGACGTTCTATTTGTTTTCTAACCTGGTCGTATTTTATAATCTGTCTCTCTCTGTCTTTCTCTCTCTGTCTCTCTCTTATTCTCTCTCTCTCTCTCTCTCTCTCTCACACACACACACACACACACACACACACACACCAGTGTTAATCTGTTTACAGGAAAGAAAAAATTTAATTGAATCAGAAAGAGATTATTAACAACCGAAAATATCCAGTGAAAATAAGACATAGTGTTTACTAAGGAGACATTCACCTGCTATTGCAAGAAACAGAAATAAATAAATACAACACTTTTAAAAAGCACAATAGAAAGAATGGAAGAGCATAGGGAAGCACAATTCTATTAAGTGTAATTTGACCTTTAGTATTTAAAGTAATGTTTTTCTATACGTGGACATATGGAGCATAAATATTTAAGTAGCTATAAAATTTTGATGACTTCATATTTCTCATCTATTAAATGATATTATAAAATTTTCTAGAAAAAAATATTATTATGTGCTCACATCACTCATTAGTAAAAGAACAACTTAAAAGCATAATTTTTCAAGACTCAAAACACCTATTATTCATAAAAGATGAGTTATGATCATATGTTGAGTCTTCAAAGTTAAAAGGTGAAAATGTGGCTGTTAATTGGTAAACAAAGACACAAGTGATGGAATATGGGCTTTTATTTCTCAAAGACTGAGTCAATGAAAAAATATTATTTTCTCAGTAACAGCATACAGCAACATAAAAGGAATACAGAAAGAAAAAGAAAATACTAAAACTGACAAAAGTAAACAAAAATTATAGACTATAACAATGAATGAAAATAATATACTGTTCTCATTTAGAGGAGATAACAATGAATGTTAACAGATATATTATCCTCCTTTAGAGAAAATTCCCTTTCTGCCCAAAGAGGAAAAGCTCAATTTATAAGTCACAGTTATAAGATGTTACATTAAAAAACTAAAAATGAAACTGGGTGTGATGGTGCACTCCTATAATCCCAGGTACTTGTGAGGCTGAGGTAGGAGGATCACAAATTCTGAGGCCAGTCTGGGTAACTCAATATAAAAAAATAAAAAGGGCCAATGATGTAGCTCAGTGGTGGAACAACCCTGGGTTCAATACCCAGTACAAAAAAAAAAAAGTTGAAAATTAAAGCATAAGATAGATAATGGATAAATTCAATACATTTTCCTTTTCCTCTTGAGTTTTCTAAATTACATTTAATGATTGGTAAAGTTATATGGGCTGTCTTCTGTGGTTAAAATAATTAAGAAAACTGCATTATAAGTGGAATGATTTAAAGAGATTCAAACAAAGGATAAATTTCTGTATTTGAACACAAGTGTATGATTTAGGCTTATAACACTCAAAGATGAAAGCAATGTAATCATTATTTTAATAGTAGCATACAAAAAAAGGAGCAGAGAACTAAGGTAGTAAGGGTAGAAGGTTGAAGAAAACAACATATCATTAGAATTAGTTAAACAAGATGAATGCCTTCCATTTAAGAATAAAATGTCTGTTGTGTGGAGTGGCAGAGGGCAGAAGAGTTGAGTTTGAAACAGGTACAGATATAAAATATCATATTAAAAATTAAATATCAAAGTTTTAATAAAATATACGATATAATATTTTAAATTATCATAAGTATCATATTGATATTCAATAAAGTCTAATGCATTTATAGTAATATAGAAATGCATGTATAGTAAAAAAAACATAAGTAAATTATATATATTAAATAATATAGTGAAGCAAAGAATTATTATAGCAAAGATGACCAAAAATCCACAAATAATACTTTAGCACATTCAGCTTGTGTCACATCAAGAAAGCAAAACATTAATAAAGTTAGGGATATTTTAATAAAATTCTAAATACATTTGAGATAATAACTCCTTTTACAATCCACAGAGAGGATAAAGTTTCATGAGCTACTGCCACATAATTTTTATCTGTGTGACTTTAAAGTAGGAAAGTTCTGTATTCTTGTATTCCTCTTCTACCTAAATCCAATCATTCATACCAATTAAGAAGAATTTAAATCCTGCCACAATGGGATTGGTTATAACCCACATTTAGAGGAAAAGAAATTTAAAAAACAAATTTTCTGTCCCGCCAGAACAGTGACATGCCACCCAGAGTATATTTTTAAAGCAAGTGACTTACTCCACCCATACACCTGACTCAATTAAGTGCCTTGATTATTATTTAGTGTTCATACATCTTTAAAGAAAAAATAAATAAAAGCAGAAAAAATAGGGCAAAAATCTTTTCTTCTCTTTGTTTTAGAAAAACTAGCTAATGATGGGGGCGGGGGACTTGAGTTAGTGCCTCTATCTAGATCATGTAATTAAAAAAACTTTTTCTATTAATTAAAACATATATGAAAACTTTAATAATATTAAAAATTTTGATTTTGATGGGATAGGTATATGTAATAAATATTGCCAGGCCAATAAGTAAAATTACATACAATGTTATAGTGCTCCATACCAAAATTATTTAAAATGTTACAAAGAAAATATAAACAGAATATCTATACCAAAAATGACAGAAAAAGGATCAAATTTATTATGCTTCAAGACTGGCCCTATACCTCCATTCAAGAACGACTATTGCTAGAATATACAATTGCCATTTTACACTATTCAATAGGCATTGTAATGTGCATAATAAATTTGGATAATAGTGGAGCCATACTGGTGTTGAGTTTAACCCCACCAAGCTTTGTAAGCTCCTGAGACCTCAATTTCCTCATTCAAAAATGGTAATAAATACAATCCATGGGTCAGGCACTGTGGCACACACCTGTAATCCCAGTTTCTCAGGGGTCTAAGGCAGGCAGATCAAAAGTTCAAAGCCATCCTCAGCAAAAATGAGGTGCTAAGCAACTCAGTGAGACCCTATCTCTAAATAAAATACAAAACAGGGTTGGGGATGTGGCTCAGTGGCCTAGTGACCCTGAATTCGATCCCTGGTACCCCCAAATTTAAAAATTTTAAAAAAATCTGTTGTCTTCATGTATCAGCTTTCATTATTATATGATGCAATAATTTATATTAGAGGAAAATAAAACCTTACATAATGTTATTGTCACAATTTCTATATGAAGAAAGACTTCCTGAATGATAGCTTTTTTAGAGACATGGTAACTCTCTGAATGAGAGTCCCCAGAATGTATTTTTTAATAAAGTCTGGATTTTTGAGAAATATTAACCCTTTAACTCAAAAATATTCTACATAATATCTTTCACTTTCCATTTGCCATCAACACAATGTGCTTCATCTTGTAAAAAAGATAAAGAATAACACACAGAGATTGACTATTATGTTAATGTTTATATAGTGACAACTCTAATATTTACTTCTTAAAATTAAAATGAAAATATATTAGCACATCATAAAATTAGAATGTAAAAGCTTTTATGTAATTGAGGTAAATAAAATAATGTCATGCACCTATATTATTAGAAATATTATTTTATCAAACTTAGAAAATGGCATTTGTTTCTATATAAAAATGCCTTTGACATATTGCCATTTTACAAAACCTAGAGTAACTAGAATCACTGGAAAACAACTTTTGTCCAATATACAATGGTTTCCCAAATATCACAGAGAAGACCATGTCCCACATAATATTCTTTTCATAGCATCTTTCACATCTCTGTTTCTCAGACTGTATATTAGAGGGTTTAGCACTGGTATTATGAGAGTGTAGAATACAGCTACAATCTTGTTTTGCTGTGGTGAGGAGATGGCCCCGGGCTGGGCGTACATGAAGAACACAGATCCATAGAATAAACTCACCACTGCAATATGGGAGCCACAGGTGGAGAAAGTCTTATGCCTTCCCTGGGTCGAGGGGATCTTGAGGACAGTGGAGAGGATGTACGCATAGGAAACCAGGATGACAGTGGTGGTGGTGATGATGATGACAGCAGACAGCACGAACAGCACAATCTGATTCACAAAGGTGTCAACGCATGAGATCTTGATCAGGGCTGGGACATCACAGAAAAAGTGGTCCAGTCTGTTCTCTTGACAGAAACGCAAACTGAAAGTGAAACCTGTTTGTATCATGGAGTTGATGCATCCGCAGATGTAGGATCCACTTACCAACTGAACACAGACTTTCTGGGACATGTGCACAGGGTATAGGAGAGGGGAGCATATGGCTGAGAAGCGGTCAAATGCCATCACAGCCAGAAGGAAACCTTCAGTTGTGACAAACAAGGCAAAAAAGAAAAATTGGGCTGCGCAGCTATTGTATGGAATTTTCTTCTCATTGGTCAAGATGTTTGCTAAAGTTTTGGGAGCAATGACTGTGGAATAACAGACATCTAAATAGGACAGGTTTCTAAGAAAGAAATACATAGGCGTTTGAAGTCTGGAGTCCATCTTAATGACCGCTATCATGCTGACATTTCCCACCACGATGACCACATAGATCACCAAGAACACGAGGAATAAGAGGATCTGTAGCTCTGGAGGGGTTTTGAATCCCAACAGAATGAATTCAGTCACCTCGGAGGAGTTCCTACTCAGCTCATCCTTCAAAACTGAGATATGAACAGAACTGGAGGGATGTGAAATTGAAAGAAATGAGTGATCAAAAATGGTAACACATGGAAGAAAAGTTGCTTTATCATATTGTTCCCAATATTTCATAAAACACCAATGAACATAAAAATTATATTACTATTGAAAGTAGTCTTACTGAAGAGTTTAATTTGGTAAACCTTTCCAAATACACTGACCTGAAAATAATGGTGACATAAATCTTAGTTGTACAACACTGCTAAAAACTGTGGGTTTTACTTATATTTCCAAAACACAAGAAAATCCTACTTTCCTTTTCTTTCCTCTTTCCCTTCCCCTCTTCTCTCTTTCCTTTCTTGTCTTTAACCTTTCTTCCTTCTTTACTCTTTTTGAATATAGGGATACAAGTGGAAAATTTTTAAAACTTGAGCAGACCTCTTTCTTTCTTTTTAGAAGAAAGTTAATTACAAATGCAATCTTTTGCACGTGGATGTAGAACACACAGGACAACCTAAGATTCCACAAATGAAAAGTACAAAAGGAAAAAAGGTATATTTAAACAAGCTTCCATTATATTTAGGATATTTACTACTATTACTATAAAATATCCTTAAAATACAGTGGAGGGATACAGAAGGAAAAATATTTTAATTCTAATTTTACAAATGCATAAACTGAGATATGAAAAACAGATTTAAGTGACTTAGTGTTATACTAAGATTAAGCAGCATAGTAGTTTACTATTCAATAATCTATCATGAAATGGAAAGGGAAACTGACAATAAATTCAATATGAAAATGTCTTTTGTAATTGTATAAACTTATAAGTATGCTTATATAAACCACGATTGTAATGAATAGGCTAAATAGTAAACTTATAAAATGTAACTTGTAATTTTTTACTGCATTATTGCTGTGGTTTCAGTAAAGTTGACATGATTTTAAGGTAGATTGGATTTTTCATCTAAATCCAATAGTCTGCATTCTTGAAAATAAGTAAACGTTATCAATATGACCAATGAATTTTAGAAGAGAGAAGAAAAGTTAAAATTACCTCTGGCAGGGCATATTAACCACAGAACTGCATGTTTTCCCTAAATTCATAGCTCACATTAAGAAGATAGTGGTTTTGGTAGAAGTAATGAAAAAAATTAAGAAATGTAAAGCTTCCCTTCTCTATTCCTCATTTAAAGAAAGGGTAGGTACAATAAGCAAATTAAATATGACATATTTTCAAGAATGAAATACTATTTCTACCTTGAAATACTACATTTATGTGAAATTAAGTATATTCACAAACAAAAACATGAAAAGAAAGAAGCAAACCTTTGTTTAGTAGGAAGTTTTTCTGCAACAGATTGCATTTCTTCATTGTTCAGAACATGACTCAAACTTGCTAATATAAAAAATACTAACAAAAATCGTGGCTTATCTCTTATTATTGTGTTTAAGTTTACTGCACTTTGTCATTGATTAAACTAACAAATAAACATTAAAAGGATCCTGAGAGATATTCCCTCATGGGGAGGGAAAAACAGTAAGTAGTGGGCAATCCCTCCACAAAATAATCACTAGGGATTAAAGTTCTCTCTCCTCAGTAAGATATTTTGTTCCATAATGCAGAAAGAAGAAAAAAAGAGAGAAAAATTATTAACTAGCAAACTTATCAGACCTTTGGAAAGTTATAAGGGCTCTCTGGAGAACATGAGAATTAACCTCCTTACAGAATAAAATCATAAAGCAAGCACAATTGGATGAGAAATTTGATTCTTCTATTTTCAAAATTTATACCAAAGTATATTGAAACTTGATGGATTATAATCCTTACTTTTAGTGACTCATTTCATACATGTATTGTAAATCTATCATGCTGGTATTACAGGAAAACTAATAGAGAGCATAAATAACAGTCAACAGAAGCAGTGAAATAAAAAATGGGGAAAGTAACATAGCTAGAAAGAGCAGACAGTCTTACCACCAACTGTGATTCAAGACACAAAAGTGTTATTGAAAAAGTCTAGAATCCTCATAATTGTGAGAATCACAGTAGGGTTTTCCCACCAAATGATAAAAAAAAAGAGAGAGAGAGAGAGAGAAAAAAAACACTCCAAAGGGCAGAGTCAAAGAGAAAGAAATACCCTAACGTCATACCTCCTCAACTGCATTTGTAGTGCAAAAGCAACCATAGCCAATAGGAAATGAACAAGTGCTCATGAAAATTGAAGGGAGATCAGCAGAGTAGAAGAAAGGTATCAGGGGAAGGGACCACAGGAGGAAAAGGGAAAATGCTAGGGAACCATGTTGATCAAGTCATATTGTTTGCATGTATACATATATAATAATAAATCCCACCATTATGTATAATTACTATGCACCAATAAAGAATATGGAGTAAAAAATGAATAAGAAAATAGTTTGCTGCTACAGCAGAATACACAAAGATTATGCAAATAGCATTTTGGGGAAAAAATAAATCGACGTAAATTTTTTCAAGCCTTTCCACTATAAAATTGTGTGATTTCATAGAATTTTGATATTTTTGTTGTATTGGCTCCACACTAATAACAGAATAAGTTTAATTTGTCTCTTGTAGTAGACATGTTAAAACACTATAAAATATTTTGTAATAACAGAATATTGCTTTACAACAATATACAATGAGAAGATGCAGATTATGAAAAATTTTATTACAAATACTGAGCTTTAGTGGAACAAACAGAGCAAGAAAGTAGATTGTTTCTGTATTATTCAATAAAACATAAATAGATTATTTTTATTACTGGAAGATTCCTCAAATATTTACAGATCCAGTGTTTCTTAATTCTTATCATGTTCACTCATTCATATGATAACATGATATTGTACAAATTTTTTTGACGAGTGACTTTTTAAAAATTCTGCTGCAAAAGAAAAATGAATAATACAACTAGTTCATAGTAATGGCATCCTAAAACCATTCTGCATCTCCTATATATGAATCAATGACCAAAAAAAATGTTACCATCTCAATTTGGAAACATTCAATACTCATTAGTTTTTAGAATTCTGTTTAATAAACTATTAAATTTTTGATACCACTACTTCTATTGTTTTTTAATGGTTACTGTAGGACTAAATATATACTTTCAGACTATTTGTGTTAGTAGTACATAATTTCATGTTGACAATAGAAACTTTACAACCTTATAGGTGCATTATTCATATTGCCACTGTCTTTAAGCTACAATTGCAATATGTATATATAGATAAATTATAAACTCCAAAGCACAATTTTACAGTTTGGTCATTAAACAATCATAAGCATTTCAAAAAAATGAGAGAATCTTAAAAATTTATTCATATTTTTAAAAAATTTCAGTGCTTTTCAAAATATCCTTAGAGATCCTATTTTATTCTGATAACATTTGCTTTTAGCCAAAGTAAGAAAACCCATCAGCATTTCTTACAGCATAGATTTGGCATAATGCATTCTCTTAGCTTTTCTTTCCAGAAAAGTTCTTTATTTTGCCTTCAATTCTAAAGCGCACTTTTCCCAGATAGAGCATTTTTGTTTGATCTTCTTTCTACCCATGTTTAAAAGGTTGTTCCATGGTCTCCAGCCCTTCATATTTTCTGATGAGAAGTCCACAGTTATTAGAATTGTTGTTCTCTAATATCTATATTTAACATTTTCCTCTGGTATCATTCAAGAGTTTTCTTTTTTCTTTGACAGTTTGGCTATCAGAGTCTACTCAAGCAATATACCATTTTTTGTGCTTAAGAATTCCAGTTAAATGGTAACCAAATAACAAATTATTTGATAAATGATGTGATATAAAAATGTACATTCCAGATTTTGCTATATTTCAATAACTTTTTTTCTTCAGACATTTAGAAATACACAGTATAACGTTTAAATTTGGGGTATACACATTCAAATAAAATTTTTATATTATAAAAATGCATTTTATATTTACCACATATGAACTATTTTCAGGTCCTTTCATCCCTTTATGTATATCCTAGTTCTAGGTTTTATGCATTTCCTTCATTCTGAGGAACTTCCCTTAATGGTTCAGTCATGCTAGTCTAATGGTGACAGATACATTTTGTTTTAGTTGTAGATGAACAAATATATGTATTTTTAAAAAATATTTTTAGTTGTAGATGGACACAATATCTTTATTTATTTTTTATGTGGTGCTGAGGATCGAACCCAGTGCCTCACTCATGCTAGGCCAGCACTCAGTCATTGAGCTACAACCCCAGCCCCAACATTTTGCTATGTCTGCTTTCAAGATATTTTTTCTTTGTCATTTGGTTTCCACAGTTTATAATGTGTCAAAGAATAAGTTTCTGAGGATTATCCTGTTTGGTTTGGGTTGAATTTATTGAATATTTTGGCTTTTGGCTTTTGGCTTTTACCAAATTTGTGGTGGACATTTTCAGTTGTCTGTTCATTGCCTTTTTCCATGAAAATTCTAATTTTCCAATTTTGCTGTATGTCAAGTAATTTGGGATTATGTCCTGAACATGTCTACAGGATTTTTAGACTATTGAGTGTTGCTTTCATCCTATAGAAGCTATTGACATTTTTATTTTACTAGAAACTTAATCTGAGTTTAGACCATGTGTTATGAAAAGCCTTCTGAAGATAGTGGTCTCAATATAATTTCCATATTCTGTGCATTATGACACTACTTAGGTGTATCCCACATAACCAGTGAACCTTCTAAGATCAGGGTGGCTGACTTTCTCTTCAGATTTTTCATACTTTTTTTCCTTATCATACCCATGCACGCACAGCTCAAAATGAAGGCCTGAAAATCATAAACAACTTCACTCTTTCACATACTTCTTCACTATCTCCCCAGTACTTTTCATTCCCTGGAGGTTCCCCTTTCCAGTCCTCCAGACATTAAAATGGAGTTTGAATTGTCTCAATGTGTTCCACATTTCCTGTGATTTTTGCCTTTTTTCCAGGATCAAACAGCATTGAATCCCCAATACTAGAGAAGCTGTTTTGGTGGATGAGGAAATAATTCTATCTTTTTGCTTATGTTTATTTAACCCCAGGATCATAACTATTAAGCTGTGTTCTTACATCATACTTCCAATGGTAGCCTCTTCTTGTTAATTAATGATGTAAGCAGTCATTAGATCAGTATCAGGCAAAAAGTTCCTTCAACCTTTCTAATATAATAAGACTCAATTCACCTTAATAAATATTTCCCTGATTTAGGAAAATACCTAAACTGCTTTATTTTTCCATATTAGCCAAATATTTTCCCATATTAACCAAGCATTTTAATTAAGAGAAGCTCTAGAGAAAATTCTATCAGAAAAAACATAATGTCAGAATAAGATTTTGCTGTGTTCATCCCTCTTAGGATGTAACAGATTGAACAACTATGCATGCACAAAAATACCAACATAATAGTTAGGGAAACCAGGTCTCTCAGTTCATTTTGTGCTACCACAACAGACTACTACAGCCTGGATAACTTATAATAAACAGAAATTATTTGATTCACAATTCTGGAGGCTAAGTCCAATATCAAGGTGCCATCATCTGGTGAGAGCTCATTGACTGCATCATCCCATGGCAGAAGATAGAAGGGCAAGAGACAGAAAAGGGGGTTAAGCTGACTCTTTTATAATGCATTAATCCTGCTCATGAGGATGGAGTCCTCATGCCCTAATCATCATCCAAGGCCACTTCACACAGCCTTTTCTTTATTATTTTTAAGATTTGCTTTTTGTCATAAAATATGGTCTGTTTAAAAAGATGCCTGTATATCTAAGAAGAAAGTGAATTTTAGTTATTGATGGAAGAAATATTCTGTAGATATATGTTAGGTCCATTTGATTAGTAGCATTTTTTTAATATTTATTTTTTTAGTTGTACACAATAACTTTATTTTGTTTATTTATTTTTACATGGTGCTGAGGATCAAACCCAGGGCCTCACACATGCTAAGTGAGCACTCTACCGCTGAGCTACAACCCCAGCCCTGATTAATAGCATTTTTTAGTTCTGAAAACTCTTCATTTAATATGTCTAGATGACTTATGTATTCATGAGAGAGGTGTGTTGAAATCACCCATATTATTGTATCATCATCTATTTGATTCTTTATATTGAGTAGTTTGTTTTATGTGTACAGGTACATATATATTTGGACATAAATATTTATAATTATTATATTTGTTTGCTAGATAATTCCCTTGAACAAATAAAGTGACCTTCTTTGTCTCTTGTGCTTAATTTTAGCTTAGTGCCTACTTTATCAGATATGAGAGTAATCACTCCTACTTGTTTTGGTATATCTCTTTCTAGCCTTTCACCTTCAACCTGCAAATGTCTTTGCCTGTAAGGTGAGTCTCTTTTATGCAACATATCACTGGGCCTTATTTTTTAATCTAATCTGCCAATCTATGTTGTTTATTGGAGAGTTAAGACCATTATATTTAGTGTTATTAGAGATGATTTTTATTTCCTGTCATTTTCATATTTTTAATGCTTAGTTGAGACTTCATTCTCCTTTATTGACTATTCTTCTAGTGATATCCAACCATACACTAGTTATGATGTTTATTTTTAAATTCTTTAATTCTTCTGCATGAAACATTTTATTGAATAATTTTTAATGCTGGCTGAATGGTTATAAATTCTTTTAGTTTATGATTATTATGGAATTTTTAAAATTTCTTCTTCAGTTGTGAAGTATAGCTTTTCTGGTTATACGGCAACTGTATTTGCACCCATTACCTTGTTGGGTTTGGTATATATTATTTCAAGCCCTCCTGGCTTTTAGGATCTGGACTGAGTAATCAGTAAAAATTCTAAAGGCTTTCCTCTAAATGTGCTCTGCAATTTTCTATTGTAGCTTTTAGAATTCTATCCTTCTTAGGTACATTGGCCATTTTAATTATACTATGCCTTGAATGGATCTTTCTTGATCTTGCCTATTTGGATTTCTGTATACCTCTCATATTTGTATTTCCATCTTGTTTCTGAGGTTTAGAAATTTTTCTGATATTATTTTATTAAGAAAGTTTTACATTCCTTTAGTTTGTATTTCAATGACTTAGTCTATGCCAATAATTATTACAGTTGGGCTATTAATGTCATTTCAGTTTTCTTGAATATTTTGGTAATAGACTCTTAATATTTTTTCTTTATTGTTGACTTTATTTTTAAGACTATATACTTTGTCAGGGCCTTAAATCTTTCTTGTATGTGGTATAATTTATGATGAATCTTTCAACCAAATTTTTAAATTGGTTTATTGAGTCTTCCATTTCCAGAATTTTATTTGGTTCTTTGTCAAAATCTCTACCTCTTTTTGAAATGATCATTAATTTCTTATATTTTCTTATTAGTTTGTTTTCTACATCTTTTTTTTAGTTCACTGGACATTTTAACTATGAACTTTCTGTTTCTTTCTCCACCATTTCTTCTGAAGTGGTGTCAATGGGATCAGTTGTTAAAGTGTTGTGTGCTGTTTGGAGTGGTTTGTTCCTTTGCTTTTTCTTATTGTCTGTATCTGTCCTCATTTACTGTGATGATTATCTCTTCTTTTTTAAGGAGAGTGTTATTTAGTGAGCTTCTTTCTCTTAAGCACCTCAGGCTGGGTAAATAACCAAGTATTGAGGCTCCTGCTCAATTGTATCCTCTGCTGTTCCCATCATCAGCCCTTTAGAGCTGCTCTCCACTCTCCACACCATTGTTTAATCAACCAACCCCACTAATGAACTTTCGGGTCCATTCCAATTGGCCATTAAAAACAAAGTTCACTCCACCTTGACAGCTGCAATCCGCAGAGAGGCCTTCCCAGTGCCAAGGTGTCCTGGGTGAATGTAAAGTGCTAATCTGTTGCCTCTGAATATAATTGAAACAGAAAACAGGAAAATGGCAGCAAACCCTTCAGGACAAGATTTTCAAAACACAAATAGAGTTGCAATCTTGGCAGAACTGGACAAAGAGAAACGAAAATTACTTATGCAGAACCAATCTTCAACAAATCATCCTGGAGCTAACCTTGTACTCTCCAGACCCGCTCTTAATAAGGACTTCCGGGATCATGCAGAACAGCAGCATATCGCAGCCCAGCAGAAGGCAGCTTTGCAGCATGCTCATGCACTTTCATCTGGATACTTCATAAATCAAGACTCTGCTTTTGAAAATTTTATTCTTCCTGTTTTACCTCGCCTTGATCCAGAATGAAAAAAAACATCTGTAATGAAAATTACTTTCTAATACCCAATGCCAAAGCTCCTCTCATTCAGTGCTGTACACACTGTGACATTCAGAATTTTGGCGAACTTACATATATTTTTGCTTTTTGAAAAGAAAGGAATATGTAAGTAAAAGCAAAAAGAAGTGGAGTGGGGGTCTAAGATGATGAAAGCTTTAGAAGCTGGGTTACCTGAAAATTTGTTTATGCTGCTTAGTGACTTTATCTTTTTTGTAATGCCATTTGACTTTTAGCTCTCAATCGAAATTGGATAGTCATGTAAAATCAGCCCCTAACTACTGAATATGTTGTGTCCACAATAGCCTTATAAGAACCATTTATGGTATTTAACTTGAAAGAAATGAGGGTGCTTTTGAAAAATGTGAATGCATAGGATTAAATAAGTTAGGTTTATATTTGTAGTCCACAGGATTGATGTAGTATATAGCTTTCAAGTTTAGAGTCAACATTATCATCCAGAAGTACTGTTTGTAAATGTATAAATATTATCTCATTATTTTAAAAGAAAACCCAAGATAAAACTAAATTACCAACCAGTCTTAAGCATCTTTCATAAACATATGCCATTATAAATGATGTGTCAGTGCTATTCAAAGTAATTATAAAGAATATGATGGCTTACACATTTATTTGTACATGGTCTTATTTAGCATTACTACATAAATGTTATGTCTGTGTGGTTTCATTGTTCATTTATTATCTAATTAAAAGCTTAAAATTATGAAAAAAAAAACAAGGCTCATAGAAATAATGTATACTTAACATTTGGAAGTTAAAACCCTGGCCTCATCAAACTCTCCCTATTGACTCTGACTTCTTACATTTCCATTTCTTCAGCTGTAAAACACATTTCAAATACAACATGATGTCCTTATCATAATTAAATATAATGGCAATTTACAATTTCCATGGATAAGAAAAATTGAAATACCCAATAAAATAGAAGAAAACATAAATTATGTAATTTTTGCTACATAGATTCACTATGGATGTCATTTCCATTGAATTAAGAAATTCTTATTTTGAGAGGCAATGACAAACTAGAAAGTATCCACAGAAAGACCAAAGTAGTGAAAACTCTAGAAACCAGCTCAGATGAAACAGTTCAAGAATTCAATTAAATATTTATTGAACAAATGCAGAATAAATGAACTAAGAATGCAATAAACAACTTCAAATATTTGGAGGGTTGTCACATAAAGAAGGAAGACTTGTTTAGCATGTCTTCAAAAGGCCTGACGTGAACCACGGTATAAATGTAAGCAAAATATTGTATGGAGGAAAGTTGGAACACTTATGACAATTGCTTCCTTCCCCACACAAAGCACTGTACCCTTAATCTTACCCTTCTTCTGAAAGAAGATGTCCAAAGTTAATATTTAGGAACATCGCATTCTCCCATTAAGCCCTCCACTGCCAAAACTTAAGGTACTCACACTGTTGGAAGAAAACTAACACTAACAAACTGGCTTACTCAGAAAAAGATTTATTTGCTCCTTAGCTATATTTCTGTATCTATTAATGATTCTCCATAGGTTGGGATAAAAGAAAACATTTTCTCCAAAGAGGGTGAATCACAATCCCAGGAATTCAGGTTCTGGTCCTGGGCACGGTACTGCTGCAGCCCAAGCGCATCACTGTGGCTATCCAAACAGTGGTGCAGATGGGGCTGTGTGCCTGGAAAGCTCCGTACTCTTCTATACAAAGCAGAAGAGCTTGAGTTATTATGAATCTCCAGGAAATATAAACTAACTGCATAATACTAATAGGCTCCAACCAAATTGTTAAATATTACAACATGAGAATTCTTTTAACAACTATATAGCATAAAGTGTGTATGTGTGTGTGTATGTATATATATGTGTGTGTGTGTGTGTGTGTGTGTGTATATATATATATATATATATATATATATATATATATATATATA